TAAATTCCCCAATTAGCAAATCAGTAATATTTATCAGTGAGAAGCATGCCAGTCACACAATACACATTAGAATTGTTTTTGCAAACAAAAACTATCCTCAATATTGTGTCTCATAAGATTACCTTCTATGATTTCTTTATATGTGTTCATAATAGACAGCTATTTCTACAAATGAAAAAATAGTTGAGAAAAACTGTAGTGAATAATGAAATTCCATTATATTTGATGGATAATTCTTCCAGCAAACCTTGTACACTCAGTGCCCCATTTTTCAATAATCGGTGCTTGTCAACTTGTCATATATTCTTAATGAGCCATTTTCAATCACTCTTTCCTACTCTGTTTCAATGATCTGTCATATGCCTCCCTCAATCTTCACTGACCATCTAAAGCAAGCCTGGGATAGGGGACAGGGAAAAGAAAGACAAGGGAGAAAAAAGTATTTCTTTCAGGATTTAGAGCAAAGATCTAGGAAATTCAATCATTCTCCTATTGTTTTATTGCAGATAGCCCAACATTTTCTCTTTATTACTGCAGAAAAACTTAAAAGCGAGCAGAGTGCAATAAAATGGCACGTGTTCAGCTGTGCAAAGCTTCAGAGGGCAGTGATTTAGTGCTACGAACCAATACCTTGCACACACAACATCTGAGCTCAGTAATTGCCTCATGTTCTGTGCAAACTATACAAAGCAGCCGGATGTCTGCTCCTCCACATAAAGTACACGCTGCTATCAGGACTTTCTCCCTGAATCCCCTTCCCCAAAATTCCACAGGTTATGTTATTAAAACAGCAGAGAGACTAGTTTGTTTTCTTTGTGCCCAAAGAGTTTACTATCTTGTTATGTTCGACATATTGTATTAAACCTTTATATCAGTGAGCCAATGGGCAGTTTTCCAGAGGATTCATTACGCTTCGCATTGCTGAGAACAGGAGAACTCTGGAATTGCAGACAGTACAGATATTTGAATGACGTGACTCATCAATAAGGGTAACAATGTGGTATCATTACAAATTTACTCATCAAAACCATTGTGGCCTTTCATGCTGCTGTAGAAGTTACTGTTAATGGAATCAATGATCTTACAGCAAAGAGAGCTATAGAGATCATATCTTCAAGCTCTGCATCTGCATCTTAAATATTATGCCATCTGTTGCATCTGGACAGAAATAGGACAGGTGGGAGGACAGCAAGAGAAAGATGAAAAATCCATCCTTCTTCCGTTAGTACATCCAATTCAATTCTGAGAATTTTTTTAAAAAAGAACTCAGTAGAATTTGACCCTAATTTCTGTAACCAAAGGATGCATATTTTGTGCACAATCAGTTCAAATCACTTTGAACTTTATTACTTTTATTAAGTAAAAGACATTAGAAAGTGGAGACTGACTTGTGCAGTTTCGTTTTCAAATGTTGTACAACTTTCCAATTTTCCCCAAATAGAACAAGAATAACCTTGTATCTCTTTTTTTAGTTCTCTTGTTTCCCTTACCGTCTTTTACTTTTTGGAGAAAGGATCAGTGGGGATACAAAAACAAATGTTAAAACTGTCCATATATCTATCTTTGAAACAAATAGTTTTCAGCAAATATAAATTTAAAGAATTTGGACATTTAAACTGAGCTTGGACTCTAATTTTAAAATAATTTAACAGATAAGATTTTAAGGAAAGAATGAAGTACTTATGTGAAGAAAGCATTAAGACAAATGAAATGGAGGAGTGCTGTCTGGAAAAGCTTGCAGAATTGCAAAATGTTCTCTGTAAATTGATGACATAACCCACAAAAAAGAACGAAGTTCTGCCCAAAGAACATAAAATGATGACCTGGGATGCAGTCTTTGTTATGACTTGATATTGTCCCACTATGCTTGTAAAACTAGCAGGCTGCTAGTTACCATAACATCATATTCCCTGTACAAATTACCTGAGATTACAAGAAATTGAAAATTTTAGTTTAAAATAGAATGGCATAAAAATCAAGCTTCATCAGAAAATGAGGAACTTTTGGCTCTCATGGATGTCACTTCTATTTTAGCAAAATCTAAGTACCATAACAGGCGAAGCCCCTGAACCTTCAAAATAAGATTTTAGAAATTCAGTTTCCTTGATTCTGCATTAAACTGTTTTGTCAATAATACTATATTGCTTTCATCTTCTTTAGAATTTGTATATGTTTCTAAGAAAATGCACAATCAGTAGAATGTCAAAAAAAATGCTCCTAGATTTTTGTGTTGATTTCATTGTATTTGTCTTAAATCAGTGGTTCTCAACCTGTGGGTCGGGACCCCATTTGGGGTCGATCGACCATTTCATGGGGGTCGCCAAGCAAGGCTGTCCGCCATTTTTTTTGTCCGCCATTTTTTTGTCCGCCATTTTTTCCCCCTTTTCCGGCGGGTGCCTTACCTCCCTTGGGCTGGGCCAGCTGGTGGTCGGCCTGCTCCGTCTCTGCCGCTT